GGAAAGTGTGATGCAGACTCACAAAAATCCTCGCAGCCTTTTTCAGCGGTAGCCGGAGATCGACTTGTGCAGAAGATGGATTGGGCTAAATTTGCTAGCCAAACTCGCTCGTCCAGCAATTTGCCAATCAAGACATAATTTCTTCAGAAGATTGCTGTAAATGAAGGGTCACGTATAGTGCCTGTGACCTCAGACACTCAGAGCAGTTACGCCTGAAGTCGCTTCACAGTAGAAGCAAAGCTGCTGCAAAAGTGTTTATTCACTAAAAAAAACGTGGATGCATGCAAAAGGTTATGTTTATGATGTACATACCTAAAAATGGAAAAGGTACAAAGTCATACATATGCAACAGCCGGCTTAAAATATGCTACGTAGTCCAAGGTAAAGTATACTCTATTGTATTTATTCGGTGCAGAAACTGAAGTTATGGACTACCTTTAGTGTACATTGATAACTCGGATCTTACCAAGTTGTGGTTACGCGGCTGTTTCAAAAGCTTTCTTATCTTCCTTTTTATTCTGGTCGTATTGTGTGACGATCGTCGCTGCAAGAAGTGAAAAATGGGGTCTTTATTTCGTTCGGAAGAGATGCAGCTATCTCAGCTCATTTTACATACTGATTCTGCTTATATGTGCATAGCAGAGCTTGGCGAGCTTGGTGTTGTCCAGATACGTGACGTAAGTCAGGAATCTAATCCAATTTCCTCTAGGCGAACCCAGAAGTGAATGCTTTTCAGCGTAAATTTGTAGACGAAGTTCGTCGCTGTGATGAAATGGAACGCAAGTTGCGTAAGTCCATCTTAATGCATTTTCTATGGTAGCAATTAGGCTACATTGAAGGCGAAATTATGAAAGAAGGCCTAACGATTTTGGAGGCTGACGATACTCCAGAAGCCCCACCACCGAGGGAAATGATTGAGCTTGAGTCAACTCTTGAAAAACTAGAAAATGAATTAAAAGAAGTCAACCTCAGCGTCAGCCAACTGAAACAAACCTTTATGGAACTTACAGAAGTTAAGTTCGTAATTCGTCGAGCTCAAGTCTTCTTCGAAGAGGTTTGTTGCTCCCCGCATTCTTAAAAATCATGCATTTATAGGGATAAAAGAGTTTTATGCTGCGTGTCTTTGGTGGAACATTTTTAAGTAGGCTTTCTTATACACTGCAATTTCAAGAATACTATTAATTGCTGTACTGTTGTGACATTTTCCACTACAACGATCAACATATTAGTTTATATAAGAGTTTGCCAAAACCGTCAATTTGGTTTCCTCGTTCTCTATTTCGCTTTGTTCTTAACTTGTCTGATTACTTTGTTATTGTCAACCTGTCAAAATTTGGCTGTCAAATTTTTAAGTCTATGTCTAATTGCATGCTTTGAGCAAACGCAGTTAAGTACACAGCATACGTTGGACGACCCTTTACAGCATCCTCGACAAGTCTGGGAGTTCAATATTTTGTTAAACTGAAGTACAATATTTGTGCATTTCTAGTCCTTGCCTTAATTTGCGGTAAACGGAACTGCAAGCTCACCACCTCACACTACTTCCTGATAGCTTGAAATAAGTTTAGTTTTCTCCGTCCAACTTGCCCGACTTCTTTCAGACCTCGTTAAAAATGTGCTTTGATTCTGCTTTAGGCTCCTTATGAAGTCAACATGACGGTTCAGGCTCCGGAAGTGATGATGCTTGAGGATCCAGAATCTGCCGAACGCAAGGCTTTGCGGGTTGGGTGGGTTTTGTGTAGTTTTAGCTGCTGTGCTGCTCTTCCAGCTAACTTCACTCATTCCTTTGCCTTAACGCTTGAATTAATCTTTCTTGAGCAGATGCACACCTCATACGAGGTCTGCCCTTTATTTGTAAACTCTCTTGTGAAACAAATTTTGATGAATTAGTGACTTTGTCCTGGATTCACGGACTGACGAATACGAAGTTTTATTCCGTGGCGGAGGCACACCGTCTGCATACAGCCGGCACGTTGAGTGAGTGAGCGTCCTCTTCGATTTGTTGATTTCTCCCTCCCAGCACTGCATTATGATTCATCATCCCTTATCTTTGACGTTTGTG